CCGTTGCTCTTATGCCTTTGTTGGCTAAGGTTTTCATGGGCGGCAAGCCTACCAAAAACTGTGGTAGGGCCGCTCCTTCAGGAGTTTGTCCATTAGGTCCATAACAACGCCATATCCCAAATCTAATGTCTTATCATATCTGGCCTGAGCTCTTTGGTAGAGATCCAGATAGGCGGCATAGCCTAGAGGGGTTGCAATGACCCACTGTTTATATCTGAATCTGAAAGGCCTTCCTATGATGCTTTGCTTCAGCCCATGACGGCCGTAATGTAGTATCATGCTTTCATCCAGGCACAGATTTTCCTTCATGAGGAAAATTGTAGTAATATTTCACTGAGTAGGTTATAAAGTGGCCGACCTTCCGCAAATTTGTCATCTGTTTGCCAATTGACAGATGGAGATATTTCATGCTTGTGTCAAATTTGTTTCGATTCATCGTTTGACTGATGGTTGCATTGTGGACATCTTGTTCAGGGTCCCAATACATGTGTCTTCATGGTATTAGGTTATAGCCAAAGATAAACAGACTAAGGAGAAAAGCACGCATTTCAGCCGTAGTTTTACTGAATGAGTGGTCACTTTTCGAACAGGCGTACTCAATTGTTTGCCCTAGCATGTGCTCAACAACAGCATTACCAAAGAAGCGTTCAAATGATTTATACGGTGTAAGCTCCTCCTTTAAAACATCAGGTTCACATTCAGACCATTGCCTCTGAGTCTGTGATCTTAGACATAAGTCGCTTTCTTTCTCCTTTTGGGTTTTTTTGAAGAAACAATCATAGTGGCAGCAAGGTCCTCTTGTAAAGGTATATTGCCAGTTTCTGGTTCCTCTTCGAATGGTTCGCCATTTAAGTTGACCGCAATTACAGATGCTACAATGAGTAACTGCCTCGTTGACAGATCATAAAGAGATCGGGCATCCTGAATTACTTTATTGATATAATCTCAGTGGCGTAGCAACTACTTTTTCCGCCCAAGGCGGACGTAAATTTGCCGCCCCCTGGGACTTGTAGATCCGTAAACCCACAAAATTGCGAACGGAACTTATATATTTGGATTCATCTAACAACAAAGACCAACTTTAAATTAGCCATAAACGCATGTATTGGTATACGTACAATACACGTGAGCAAAATTTACATACCACCGCTTGGTGCATTACTTGAGGTTATACTATTGACAACACCAACAAAATTCAGTTAATATGAGGAGCACTACCAATCCGTGAACCATGTCTGGCGCATTGATGGTAGAAGATAGTTCGTTATAAGTCTGAGTCTTGAGAAGGCGCAGCTTACAGCTGGCTGTGCTGATAGTTCGGGTAAAAAAGTTACGCAGCAGATTCCAAAAGGGATATTTCTGTAGGAATTTCAAAAGATCAATTAAGTTTGTCGTTTCCTGAATCTTTCAGAAAATACTGCAATTCTCTACCTTTCGAAAAGGAAATACACGGTTCCTATATTTTCTTCAACTTTATTAAGCGAACAGCCGTAGTTACTATCAAGCAGATTTAATGGTGTAAAGAAAGTATATTTGTTCGCAAGGTCATGAGTTTGCTAAAATCTACAGCTATTTGTCAGTCAAACTGCTCTTGACAGACAAAGTTACTTGTTTTAACTCATCGATATACCATCGATACAATAAACAATTCTTCTCTGATCATTCGTTTCTTTCGGCAGATTCGACACTCCATGCTTACCCCCGACTCAGGGTAGTGATTCTTCAATTCATCCATTGCAATCTCAACCATTTGCTCACTATTCTAAAGAAGGAAAACAAGATTGTAAGCTCGGAAAAACTTTGCTACAGAGACAGACCCTTTTGTTTAGACATTTCTATGCATCCTTGATTGCTGTGAGAACAGATCTCCAAATGTTCGGAAACGAAATAAACAATAGCGACAATGGTTGCATTTGCTCATTAATCTGTGAAATGTTTCCGAGAAGTGACGATTTTTTAGTAGTTCTTCACCACGCCGTTTGCAGCACCTGCTCGACTACTCCATCTAGATAGTACAGCTACTTGATACGTATACCGGTGACTTGAATGAAAACATTGTACCAATATTTAGAAGTAAAAGGATGAGAATAGCCGGTCTATCTTATCGAAAAGGTAACAAAACGAACCGCCTCAGAAGCTTCATGAACACAAGCCAGATTCAGGGAAAGTTCGTACATGACACGAAGGTAGCTTTGGCTTGATTTCGCAAACGTCTCTGCACCCCTGATTGGTAGCCCGCTATAACAGCGGCACTGTTTAATGCCTCGCCACGGCCGTAGTCAATCTGAATCTCGTGCTTTTCCGTTCCGTTAAATATCAATCCAGAAATTTTCTTTGCTCTTTTACTGTAATTCTCAATGAAGCTGAGAAACGACTATTCCACCGTCACTTCATTTCGGCTCATCTGATTTTTGTTAGATACGTATGAGTGTTAATAAACCTTAAGCAACCATAGTTACTTTCCTTGATCTGCTGCACGATTTTGTTTATCACCTACTTTACCAAAATGCTCACTAAAGTATTTTGAACTCGTGGCGACGAAAACGTGAGGATTTTCCTTTCCAACTGAACTGTCACCAAATGCTCACGGAGAACAGGCCCATATTTGGCCAGCAAATGTATAAATTTTGAAAAATTCCCTTTTTTCCGGCCTTCTTCGTCATTCTGGATGAGTCTCGGAGACCACACAGTCCAGTTTGGTCTGACGGGAAACCTGAAGATATCAAGTATCATAGCAAATGTTTCACGCAACGTCTTTTCTATAATTGCCTTGCTTCAACTAGCCGGATTACTAGCTCCTTGTTGTTGGGGAATGAGTGAGCAGACGAGTTACCAAATTTGTCTTCATATGCTTTAGGATTTAGTTTCCATCAGTTTCTGAAATCCTCATCAGTCGAAAACTAGACTATACAATTGAAAACATCCTGTATCTGAAACAAAACAGGACCTAATTTAAAAGAGCATACATCATTCGTGTTCGCAATCATTGCTCGTTTTCTAGTAAATCTCGAAAAAATGAGTTTGTTGTTAACTTCTTAGCCTCAGATTCGTATTCGTTCCATGTAGCACCACTTATTGAATTATTGATCGACGTACTTCACGATAATAAATCGGAGCACGATAAACATAGTGAGAACTTTTCATGGTCAATCTTAACAGGCCACTGACAGACATCCATAAAATCGGCTGATGTACGTATTATCCTGTCAAAGTGTGATTGCACTTCCAGTTCTCCAACTTCGCGCGCATCTTCTGCGTTAGCATTACAAACATTTCCCACAGCATCCATGCTTTCAATATCACTAACACTTTCCCGTAGATCAACGTTTGTAATAACAATTTCTTTTTCATTTGTAAGACTTCAGCTATGGAGACAATTTTGATGAATTTACACTTGGTATTATTGAACAATCATCTGTACTAAAAATGCCGCCCGGGGCGGACAGACCCCATACGCTACGCCTCTGTATTATCTTCATCATAATTTTGTGCATCATCGAGAGGCGCAATGTAAACGTTGACCTTCAGGACAGCATCAGCTCCTGTTATCATGGTGATGACATCTTGTGCGGAATAAATTTCAAGATTCCGGTTGAAGTAAAACGATGTTACCAGGTAAACTATAGTCTACATGCATTTGTACAATGAAAATGAAATTAAAACGGAAAGCATGTTACTGAAATTCATTGTTTCATGCTGTACAAGTAAGTCTAATATACAGGGACATTTATAAGAAAGCGCGAATTTTTCAATCATGCTACCAATAACAGTCAGTGCTAAGGTACACGTCACGGTACCATTTCTTACTGGCATCCTTTAAAAAGGATAAGTGGTTGCAGCTCATGCATGAAATAGATACAGTACATGTCACATGTGATAATGTGTTCTAAACATATAAGTTAACAGATATGGCAAGGATTAAGTGCTTTTCAACGAATAATTACTTCAAGTACACTCAGTTGTTTGGATTTTCCAATATATTGGCAACTTTTGATCATACAAGGGAAAATAAACTTCGGCGGGCTAAAACAATTTCAAATTGATGAGGATTAGTGTGTTAGCTAGGTTTGCAACCAAAGGCACTACAAATAATAGGTTAATTTAAAACCATAAATCACATTTTAGTTAGGGATGCTAGCCGAAAATGGGTTAGTAGTAGGCCGGGATGCCACGAGTGCAATTAAACCTAAGTGGATGTAGCAGGATTTTGTATTTTACGACTTCTCAGACGTTTGCGTGTTCATCTTTATCTCGCCCTCAGTGCATCTGTGCGTGTGTTTTCTGCGCTTACCTTGCACTCTGTCACTTCCCACGGCTCTGTGCAGATTGAGTGATCGTAATAGAGTGATAAGATCTGCCTCTTCCACTTGTCCACACGTACAGGCGTGCATAAGGCTTCCCCTTGAAACAAATGGTCAATTATCGCACATCGTGCGGTGTTGCAGCTCACCCTCTAGTCAGAAGTCGAGCGCCTGTTTTTCCATCGATAGACCCGTTCCCAAATGTTCATTTCCATCTCGAACGGCCTACGAGTATGGAGATTTTCGCATACACCGACTGGTTGAGCGCTATTTCGGCGCAATATGTTGTCGACCTGAAAGTGCAAACAATTGGGATGTTTTTGGTATGTGATTATTTTGGATCTACTTTGCATTTTGAATAAGTTGGGATCGTTTCTACGCGTGGCTTAACGATTGCGTTTCGATTGTTACGGTGAGAAGGGGGACCCGAATCCGAATGGCACGCTCTGTTGTGTGTAATAAAAGCGTACTGAGGATAAACAATGTTTAGAATCGCCAGGCGCATGTGGCATGAGGAGGAATTCACTGGGTGATAGGACTGAGCCATTCTCGATCACAATGTGGTGACGTGAAGAAGTACCCAGGTTTGTGATCGTTCCAATATCGTCTAGGTGAAAACAATATAGTTCGCGAGCATGATGTGAAAATCGCAGGACAGCGTCTTACGGAAGATAAAGTTCAGGCAAGTAACAAAGAACGCTAGAGGCAATATGTGTATTCTGATGACGAAAATCGGAAAGACCGCACAAATGTAAAACATCAAGGAGGAGAGAGAGGATAAAAACAAAAGCAAAATACAATCACAGTAGCAGAGTCAAATAATGTAAAAAAGACCAGCAAAATTACTTGAAACAGTAGACTAGAATTTGACGGAAGAGAATCACTCGTATATGCGTTGATCATCACATCGTGGACTGTTTTAAGAGAAGTGGTACACTTTCCCGGGTGACTGGAATGAATCGTTGATCGGGCCGGCTGAGCATGTGCACCTGAGCAGAGTGTATGTGGAACCACAGACCATGTATGCGAAGGGTGCCTGCGAGGAGGCGTTCGATCAATAAAGAATGGGAATAAATATGCGACATCTGCTGCACCACGTTAATCTGAAATTAGAAGAGAGGAAGATTAATTGAGGTGATAAGTGTAGCAGAGGCACCATACAAAAAAATTACGTACGGGTCCGTATACTAATGATAACCAAAAGATAGAGAAAGGTATAAAAAGCAGGCAACAGCAGTACGCCGGCAGGCAACACGGACGTTTCGCTGCCACGCAACCACCACCACTCTTGTGTGGGCTAGGATCACCACCCGGACCCCTACGCAGGCTCGAACCCGCGCCTTCGGTTTACAAGTCAGGCTGATGAAAGAGAATGGGATAAAGACTTGGAACAAAAACAGGTGCGTGTGCTGAGAAGTTGCTACAGCTCAGTTCAATTAGGTACCTGTGATCCTTATGGAGAGGTGCGGCGAATCCAGTTAACAAATAATGAAGAAAAAATATGGTCAAGGGAGAGGGAAAAGGAAAGAGACAATAATGGATAAACAATAAACAAAATTACAAGGGAGCAATAGGTGGAGTTGGATGGTAGAGGCGAAAATTCATCAGATCACATCACGGTGTTTGTTGCTGCCTCTCGTAGCTCAGTGGTCTCAACCACGTACTGGCAACAGTCGAGTTGCGTGTTCGAGCCCCACAGGGGTCAGATAGAACGCGCATTGCTGACGACTCTCGAAAGAATGAAACGGCCATACAGTGCTTTCCCGGGAATGTGCTCGTTGTTTGATTGGGTCTAGATGTGATGTATGTCTACCAATAAACAAAATGCCAAAAACGGGACTTACACTTGACAAATTTCAAGATAGCAAGAAGCAGAAGCATTTAACAAAATAAGCCAAATTCAAATAGCTCGGGTATTCTCATCAGCCGTTTACATTCAGTTGGTGAAAGAATCGCGTTGCAAATAAGAGGAAACAATATTCAAGGTCGTACTGCTAAAATTTGAAAAGATCAATCGCCTCAACAAGATAAGGTGAGATTGACCATACACTTGGGCTGCACAAATTGGGCATCAGCTGCGGAACTATTAAAGCTTCGGTAAACTGGAGTAGGCGGGCACTGTACTGTCGGTGAATTATCCCGAACGATTAGCAGGGATTGACATGTAGAGAAATCTATGACATGCTGAGCAGTAGAGCTAATCGGTAGGTTAGGATCATTCGCGACTAGATTAAGTGGAATGTGATCTAAAATCGTCGTCAAGAACATTCTCACAGTTCGGCCCAAGTAATTACTATTATAAGTGAAGGGGAAGAGGTAATGACGTCAGGCTAAATCGTGAGCGTCTGGCTCATCTAGATTAAATGTACATAGCAGCTGACTACTTGGTGAAATCACAAGTCCATCCGTCTAAAAGCACTTCTTTATAACCTAGTGGAGATGACAATGGAATCTTCGGTCATTTTGGTCCACTTTAGATGGTGGTGTAATAAACACCTTTTTCTTAGGGGCACCTGTCAAGCAGTTCTCAGTTCCTTGTATCACGTGTGGTGCTATAGATCTCTCCGGGTAACCGTTTTCAGGTAGTGTTGGCGACCCGTGTTTCAGCTTTGTTTCACTCATAGTTATAGAACAAATTGTGCGGGCTCTTGCGAAGGCGGAACGGACCAATGCTCGTATGCAGTTTATACGACAGAAACTGTTGAAGCTGAAATAGTGTTCTGTGCAAGTATGGTTGGGATATACACGGATCCAGTGAGTATGTTGTCAGGAGCCCTATTCGGATATAGTTTCAAGAAGTGAAAAGAGTTCCCCATTTCGTTTCCAATCGTGAATTCGATTGCGAATTGGCATTCGTTTGGTATAGGTAGGTAGGTACTTGACCCGTCGCCAAAAGGACAAGATCCAGAGATCGCTGGTTCGAGAGTACATGGGGGCGACCCTCGCAGTATCCTTAGCCTACACGTGATTGGTGGTGGTCGCGTGGCAGCGAAGTGTCGGCACGGCATGCCGGCGTACTGCTTATGCGTTTTTTACTAAGCAATAGCAACGACAACGAACGTATCGTCATGTGGTCTACAGCACAACTGCATATTATGTGTGTACGAACGTTGTTTAGCTTTCTCCAAGTGATCCAAAACAATGTCAGTCAGGACTGGCCCAAGTGAATTGTCCATGGCTACACCATCAATGTGACGGTGTAATGGAGAAACGCCCGTGATTTCGCATGATGTGCTGTGACACATCTGAAAGATTGGAATGAACAGTAGTAGTTGAATAGGCCAACAACCAACGAGTTTTTTTAGTCTACTTTCATAAGAGCGGAAGAATCACGTCACATCACGTTGGTTCGCTTTATTTGAGCGAGTTCATAGCGAAGCTCAATCACCGTGAGAGTGTGACAGAAACACTCTATGCGAATCAAGGTAATGCCACAAATGCTGATGCCAAAGGTCAGATGGTCTGTATCTTAAAAATGCTTTAACGGCGTGTTTGACAACTGGTCAGCCGTTCATCTTTCTCAACCATCAAGGCGCATCAGCTATATAACTTGGATTCCTGCTCAGGATAGGCAGGAACAGCATTCGGTTAATAACAATCGCCATGGCCTCCAGCTCAATCGTCCTCTTTAAAGGTCCTGATCAGGCTTAGGACTACTAGTCCGTGAAACCGAACTCCATTCAATCGAACTAGCAGAGGAGTCAGAGATTAATTCATAGCTCGGAGGATAAAAGTTGGCCAAACAGATGGCTAAGCAAATATGCCGCTCAACTCGGGCAACACAAGTACCGTACTTTGCAGATATGTTTCTGCTATTGCTCTTTGCATCTTACCTCCAGGATACGACACTTCGATCGGCCAAAAGTTATAGGAATTTGTCATCATGCACAAAATCGCTTGCTACATATCGCATACATACAGAGCTATCAGTGCTAAAACAATTCTCGCATCAGAACTTCAACAAGTTAATAATGACAAAGATACAGCGAGAAGTTAGTACGTTGTAACACCGTAACGACTCCACTTTTCTTAGTACCCTGTGATATACGACATGTAAACCAGTTGTGCAAATTCTGACACGCAGAAGTGGCCCTCGTGTAAACGAGAACATACATTATAATAATTAGTATTATGAATATACTTCGTGGCGCCACTGGAGGCGAGACCAATCAGCATTAGGCACATGCAAGTATGTAGCCGACGAGTCCGGTTGTCTCTACATAAACGTAGACTGTGATCCCCGTATAGTAGCGAGGACTAGAACTCGGGTAGTAAAGATTGTGAGCTATAAGCCTGAAACTGAACATACACCAAGAGAGAGACAGTTCCGGGTAACGAGTGTGGGTGATATGGCCAGTGTTGACGTGGGGAGTTTGCACATATAAACAGCTCGAGTGACTTGATCTTCATTGATCTATTTGTTCCTCCTACTGATTGGGTTAGTGAGCTAATCAATACAGAACAACATACACTGATCCCTGTAGAAGAACGGTGGTTCAACACTGAAACTGCGAACAGCTAATCGCAACGTACGATCGCAACATATCCATCGCAATGAGGCTGGACCTAACCGTGGTGGGATGGTTTGTGTGCCTCAGTGATCAATTGAACTATGCTGGGTGGTGCATTTTTGCACCTTCGGAGGCACTCATACCAGATTGGTCAATGGTTAGAGGCCAGATAAATTCAGCCTCCTGGTCCTCCAGGTTGGGGGTTGAAATGAGGGTAGCTCCTTATTCCTTAAAACGGACTCCTTGTAGCCCAATGCCAAACTCGCTGACTTGCGGACTGGTTTTTGAACCAAAGGCTTTGGTTGAGAACCCTAATCATTCTCCTGTCTAGGCCTGGGCAATCTGTCAGTATCCTGCCTACGCAATACAATGAATCTCTCTTCAATCAAATTTCTGATGCTCTGGCCACCGCAGAGGATAATCAACGGTGCCCTATCTGCTGCATCGAGCAGGGTGGATAGGGGTTTGGATGCTACTGCTCAAGTCTTCCCGTCTTCTTATTCCCCCTCTTATGCTTTTTCACCCTTATTGTCCCGTTCCAGCTTCACTTTTATCCCCCCAGTTTTCAACCCCCCAATTCTCGGCCCTCCGCCACTTTTCTTCAATAGTCGCTTGTCTTATAGTGACAACTCACATGTGAACGCGGAGCGTCATTCCTGCCCTGTCAACAGGCCCATGTCCAACCAAGCGGTCCATTCCAGTTCAACGGCTTCCATTTGGAGCCCTCGATCCTCCTTCAGATTGGCATTCCTCCATGTTCGCACATTGCTTCAGATCGGTCAACAGACAACACTTGCCCGAACATTAGAGACTCTCTCGATCGATATCTGCTGATTATCGGAGACCCGCCTGCTAGACTCCAGCTGTCCTCACACTGCGATCCCCTTCAGGTGACGCCAGCAGCATCTCATTGCGCCTATCCGGTGACGATGTAGCTTCGAGCACCGGCGAAGCCGGTGTTGGTATTGCCCTGAGTCCCCGGACTGAAGCTACTCTGGTTGATTGGATTCCAATCAGTAGCCGCATGTGTGCGGTCCGATTGGCTGGCTTGTTCAAAGCTTCGAAGTCGCGTATGACTAACACCTGTCTATTCGTTATCGCACCTATGCACCCACAAACTCTAGCGATGACTCGGTAAAAGACGACTTCTATCGTCAACTGAACGAGCTCCTTAGCCCCAAGCGAAGCCCGGAAACTGTAGTGCTGGCTGGGGATCTGAAAGCTCAAGTTGGAAAATTATCCAATGATGAACTGCATCTGGGCGGCCAACAAGGTGAAGGCTCCCGTAATGATAACGGTGAGCGGTTACTTCATTTGTGTGAATATGCTTGCTTGTTTTTTGCCAGCACTAGTTTCAGACACAGCACCCGCCGAAGGGTGACTTGGCGCCCACCAGTCTCGAACCAGCCTTGGACGCAACTCGATCACATTGCGATAAGTTACCGATGGAGAGGGTGCGTCCAGAACTGTCGATCGATTTGGAGCACATGTGTAGACACCGACCATGCACTTGTATGTGCTGACCTGCGGATGCGTTTTGGTGGACGCCCACGACGACGCTGTGACCGCATTGACACCATCCAACTTGCGAA